GGTTTTGCTAAATCAGAAAGGTAAGAGTGAATATAGATGGACTTGCATAAAAATCTCTCTCCAAGAACATTTTAACATGGAAAACCCTAAACAGGATGAATATTCAGCAAGCAGGGTGTCATACTTAGTCATCAGCTACAGCTGAAGCTATAGAAAATAAGGAAGTTCATAATGCCTATGAAGTCTAACAGCTAGAACACTTCCTAAAAATAGGGTCCTTATCATGCTAAAAAAGTCATGGCTCACCGAGATATTCTCTATGTTTAGCAGGTCTGTCACAAAAAACCTCTGGAGCAGACTCTGCCCTCACATTTGTTGAGCCAAACCTGCAGTGAAGGGGATGCAATCCCTCTAGGTTTATGACAGTAGAAAGATGGGAAAAAAAGAAAAAAAAACAGAATCTGACCTTTAAAATGCAATTTTTTGTATTTATTTGGGTCTTCATTTAACCAAGTTTCTTTCACTGTGTTGCCCAACACAGCTTGAGCCACAGAACATCTAACAGATGTTTCACTCGGCTGTGGAGATCACACTCTTATTTCACTGGATTCATCGTTACAGAAAAGACAAAGACAGCAACAGAAAGCGAATGGCATTTCTGCACTCAAGAGGAGAGCAAACCGCTCCTGCTCCGTTCTAAAAGGTGCACCTCCAAAAAGCTTCCGCAGCTCTGACGGGCTGACGGCCCTCGCAGATGTTGCACAAAGGCCATGGTGAACGTCAGGGGCTGGGTTTACGACTGGAGCTGAAATGGTGCTCACCAACAGAGATTCATCCCGACTTCTCAGTTGAACAGCTTGTCAATTTTCCCCATCTGATTTTTTTAAATGAGAGAAATCCATTTCCTCAATCTATGTCTTAATGCGCAGCAAACACAGACAGCTCTGCTACAAACACCCTTTAGGATACCACAGATAACAACAAACATTTATTTCATTCAACTGCCATTGCTTAATCTACCAGCAAAACCTGCACCATTAGTTTAAGCCTTCATGTTTTGCTCAGACTGGAGCAAATTTTAGATTAAGTGTCCAATTATTGGCTCATAAAGTCACATTACTGGCATTTCCCTCTTAACAGTGTGGTTTAATTGGCAAGGGCCCTTTTTCCTGTGAGCAGCCCAGTTCTGCGGCGTGTCACACGCCCTCTGAGCAGCACACCAGACTGCAGGACAAGCGCGCCCAGCAACACCCTCCTGAATAAATCTGTCCAGCTTATGGCCATTAGCACAAATCCCAGCTGCTCTCCCCATCAACTGAGACTGATGACGGCGGTGAGGCCACTGCAGCTCGCTTTGGTGGCCATTAGTAAACTCAATTTTATTTCATGTCTTTTTTTGAATAATCAGTAGCATGCCAAACACATCTGTATGTGCACATCGAGCTAAAGAGAGTGGTTTAACGAAGTGCACGTGCGCACAGGCTGACAAACAGCCAAGTGATTTCACGTTCAGCTATAAACAAGATCTCAAGAGATGCTCAAGAGAACAAGATGAAAATACGTGGCACTACGATTAGGGATCGGCGTTTCAATGGCATGAATTTGGGACGACTGGCAGTGAAAATATCCAGGAGCTGTTACGCTGGCTACCACAAATGATTGTTTCTCAAACTCTCACATCTTAAGATCATCACATTTCAGAAGTAATTAAAAATATCAGATGCTGAAGAATTTTGCACGCAACCTTTTTCTATCCTAGTGTCTATGAAGCCAAACTCCTGGGTCACAGAGAAGACCAGTATATACGTATACTGTAAAACTGTAAACCAAAAACAGCTCTTCCACAGATGGTACTTTTTTTGGTATTTTAGATAATTAAGAAAAGAAAGCACTTCAGCCATTAACCCCTCTTTATAAACAATAGTAACTTTTTGTATGTCAGCCTCAGACTGTTAGGCCTTTCTTCTGCTCTCGAAGTATGCCGAAACTCACAAAAAAGCTTCTTTTTCCCTTGTTCACAATACTCCAAATCACAGTAGCCCAAAAGGCCAAGCAAAAAATACTAATTCCTGGATTCATGAACACTAAACACAACAGGGAGGAGACCTTTCCAAGGGACAAAGGACACTGCTGCTCCGTTTTGATCAGTTTTAAGCTAGTGGCATTTCAATCCAAGCACTCCCGTGACAATTGCGAGGCCGTCAACAGGGCCAGGACACGGGTGCTGCTGTTCTCTTCAGTCACGACAGGGCAGAGATGTCAGCGTGACAGCTCCTTTGGGAATGCAGCTGGAGACCTGGATGGGAATCCTCGAAAGCAGATCAAGGTGGCAGCTGCGCTCATGGAGACAACTGTGTCTGTCTCTGCACAACTACGAGCAAAATTCTGCTCGAAACAAGAAATGCGCTTACTGCAAAGAACGAGTTCCACCAAGCACGATGCTTCAGCACAGTGACTAATGTCATCTGTTCACCAGGCAGCATGTGCTGGAAACTTACTTTATGTAATATTAGGAGTCCTACCTGTCCCTCTAGGGCCTGCATAACTGCACTCAAAGTGATAGAGATGTCCTGCTCTTACGGGCAAAGACCAGGTGGAAAAACAGCATTTTTACCAGACAGCCTATCCGCACAACACAAATACCTGCAGCGCTCGGAAGCCCCGATGATGTGGCTCAGCAGAAACATCACATCAGCATTCGCTGGGTGATTGACAGAAATTATTCATGCCTTTGCCACGGATGCACTCACATGAATTCACTATTGGAGCACAGCAGCCTGCTCACACGAACACAGCCAAGGTGCTCTTCCAACAGCACATCCACCACGACTGTGCCGCTGTGACAGGGACTCCAGCCCTGCGACCGCTTACACAGGTGTCTGCAGCAGGCTAGAGTTTCTTACAAATCTCAAATATTATTACAACTTTCTCAGGAAACTATTTAGAAAAAAAACATGTCCACTTCCCTAATTATTTAGGCATCTTTTTGTTTGTAAAAAAACCCAGGTTTGGGTAGCCAGGGACCACTGAGCAGCCACACACAGGACCTGAGAATATTCTCAAGTACCCTGCTTAGCTGGAGCTCAGCACTGGAGCCCAAAATGCATGGCAGAAGAAAGTTGGATAAGGAAGGGCATGAGGCAATGACAGAATCAGGGGAACACTGGAGAAAAGAAGATAGAACAGTTTTCCATCAAAAATAAGCTGACACTGGAATTCCTGAAGCTCTGAAAAGCAACTAACTCTGAAATCCACTGGAAAAATTCACACTGGATCTTCACTTCCAGTGACTCTTCCACATCACAGTTACAGGCTACATTTAAGAAAATTAATTAAAACCATGTTTTTCAAACTATTTAGGCAACGCATCACTTCGTTACAACAAAACCTGTTTTGTGAATCAATACAATGACTGCAGGGACAGCAGGACACGATAGCAAAGGGGGGTTGCATCTCTTCTACAGTTCAAGGTCAAATTGCATCATAGGCTATGATTTGTTATGAAAATTGCACTTTATGAGCAGTTACAGATCAAATTCTTCTTGTTTCTTGGGGCCCAAACTAAGACAAGAGAGTCTTTATTGTACAAGTGTTGCTGCAGTAAAGAACCATAACCAAAGTCAATGTGAATACAACCTCAGTAACAGAAATACTAAAAAAACCCCAAACATCTCCCAGGAGGGGAGCTTGGAGGCATCTTCTGCACACAGAAAGAGCACCCAATTCTGCTGAAGTTACCTGTGCACCAGTGTCCTGTCTATACAAAGGTTGTGACATAACTTGTTTATCACAAGGGGTAAAAATAAGAGTACACTGACATTTGCAAACCACTCCTATACTCCAGTGCAGCACCAGCAGAAGAGTTCAGTGAAGAATGAGCGATTCCGTGCTCAGACTGGTGTTTGAGCGGTGCCTCAGACCACACGCTGAACAAACACCACAGACTGGAACAGCTCATTCACAGGAGCGGCCCAGTCCAGGAGGAGGGAGGGAGGGTGGGGGAGAAGGGGAAGGACCTGATCACACCATTACAGAGGCTTTCTGACAATGCAGACACACAAAGAAGCCATATTAAGATTTTTCCACATATCCTTAATTCTAGGTTTTTCTCTTCAGTGTTAACTGCTTGATGATTGTCACAATTTTCAGCTATTTTTTAAATACCACAGACAAGCACATAGCACATATCTGTGTGTCAGAAAAGAAATACGGAGCACATATAGTGCCATGTAAATTCTATTAAAGTTTTCCTTCTCACAGTACATAGCCAGTGGATTTCATGATCACAAAGTACCATCAGGAAACCAACATCACCCAATGTGTATTTAACTAATTGGCTTCTCATTTAGGTAACAGGTTGTAAGGGCTCCGTATGGCAGTGCAGAATCAACGTGTTAGAGCAGTGTCTGACTTCGCCAATCCCCACGAACGTTCCTCACCATACAGCTGGCATCTGGCACTGTTTCCATTGGTACACTGAAAACACTATTATTTGACAATTTATACACACAAGGTATTTATTGTTGAGTAATCTTGCTCGCCCTAATGACAGCCGCTACGAATCCACGTAATACAACCAGGACATTCTCACCCTGATCCTGTACAACATTTCTAGCATTTGTTATTTAAAAACCATCATCCATGCATACTTTAAGCTATCTCCACCTAAAGGATATACTCAAGAGCTTAGGTAAAGTTCAAAGAAAGGTAAGAAACTTGCAAAAATTATTCCATTATTTATATGGGGGGAAAGGGAGGGTAGGGGGGAGGAAGTGTGAGGGACGGGTTTTATGCCTGTTGGCTTTCTCCATCAGGAAACCATCCAGGATTCCTTTCGTACATTTTTGACATTATAATAACCATCATCCACTTGACTTTAATTAAGCACATACAGAAATTAATATTTTTGTCTTTGGAGAATTGTCCCCAAGTGATGTCTCATAGAAAATACAAACCAAGGGCCCCATTTAATCCACCTACTCCAGGGTTCACTTTCGCCCACAATGAGTAACTGGAATTGCAAGTGGGTTTAAAGAGACCACGAGAAAGAAGGAACTCACCATTCTAACTACTTCAGGGTAAGTCTGCTCTGTCAAACAGCCTCTGCTTATTGTAATGTAGTCCACCAGTTCATTAAGAGTGGAGCGCTTGTATTCTTTCATTTTAAGGTCTGAAAGCGTGTCCATGAAGTCAAAAATGACACAGCACTGCTGAAGTTTCTTTAGGAACAGTTCAGGCTGCTCTGAAGATGGAACGTCTATGAAACAAGAAAGGAAATCTTTGTGAGTCTGGCATCTTATTACACAAAACAGGATTTCTTTGTGAAGATCAGTTTCAAAGGAAAGCAGCATTCATACACATTTTGTAAAACAGAGCTCAGATTAACAAACCAATCCCTTATAGGAACTGCGTTATTATTGCGTGTTTGAGATCTTGAACATGTTGTAAAAGCAATACAATCATCCCCCACTACTAAGGAAATAAAGTTCATCCAGAATGTCCAGGCTGAAGTGGAGAATGCAAACACACCAGCGTTCGAGCCTTAGTTCCACGACACACCACGGCTTCCACTGGAGGCTGACACGCAGCACCATTCACTTACGCTCCAGAAAGGGCGACAGGACTGCCAAACAGATCCAGCTTGATTAATTTCTATTTCTAAAAACACTGCATCATTTAGAACTCTATACGAATATACATGAACATGTACAGGGACACACAGCAAGACTGTAATTCTGCAGACACGTTTTCAGACTGTTGACACTTTCCAGAGCACAATCCACCTCCCTGAAACACAGCGAGGGCTTTCTGTGGTGCCATGAACACGTAACGTGTGTTAAGAGGAACATTTTCACACAGAACAACAGTATGTGCTTGTACAACAGACTAAGCGGAACGCACTACTTACTACTTTTGCTCTGTTTACTTAATTCTCAGCAGATAAAAGACTTCATAAAATAATACAAGGAATGTCTGCCTCTTAGTGGTTTATTAGGTCACCAAGTGCATCAAAAGAGAACACAGGAAGCTCAGTTTATCCGATGTCCGTGTACACAAGAGGCTAACAACAGCAGAAAGTCGCAGAAATGAAATAAGCGTTTCTACTCTGGAAGTGCATCCTCAGACTCGGGGCACTTCACTGCCTTTGAGCTGCTGCTTCTTTGGTTTCTTAAAGGCACAAATGCTCCGTCAGGACCAGAATCCAGCGAGCGACCTCCCAAGACACAACACAACACGTACATGAAAAATTTCACTGATTTCAGCTAGAAACATTTTAACAGTGAAGCACTGGTGATGATGGTGGACAGAGTAGTAAAAAGCCAGCCCAAGACCATACTTCTTGCAGTTGACACAAGAGTATGTCAGGCTAAAGGAATATCTGGCAAACACTGGAAGCTGTCAGTAGCCGAACAGTAGTTTTAAGGGCAAAGTACCACGAATCTGCTATAATTAAAACCACGTACACAACAGTTACTAGTTTCAAGTTCACAGACCTATAAAATATTACAAGGTCACAGTATACAGCTGCATAGTTTAAAAAGTACTGCTAGAGATGCAAGGACCCCGAGGCATTCGCATCAACTCTCTGCATTGCTTAAACCCTGGAAAGAATAAATACAGCTTGCAGTGCAAATAAAGATGCGACGTGCTTTCTGACCTGACGTGGTAAAGCACAACAGTTCATTCAACATTCTTCTGCTCACAGCACTGCGGCGGTGACAGGATTCAACAGGTTAACAACCTGCATCCCACGGAGAACAACCAAGACCTTGGTGAAGTTTAATTGACGATACCAGGCAGCACACACCAATCTCACACTCACTGGGCTCGCCTAAGCTCTACAGCAGCAAACTGAGAGGACAATAGTAGTGGTATGGTTTTGACACCACACTTTGTATCACCATAATTATCCACGTTCCCACAGGGTACAGTCATCTGTGGAAGAAATGTGGTCCTGCAGAATCCCGACGAGAAGAGCAACGTGGGAAAACGGCCCGCTCCAAACACCTGAGGAAAACGGAAGGTCCCAAAACCACCCTAAAGCTGCTCCACTGACCAGGTGCCTCAGGTGCGCTCAGATGCCTCACAGCAGGCAATGCTGAAACCCAAGATAAGCCAAGGAGTCAGAGAAAGTCATCAGCCCTCGCCCATTACAGAAAAGACCACTTCTACTAGCGACCTTTCTAAGGTTACAGCCCGACAGGAGATAAAGGGGCCGGGGAAGAAAAGCTCCTGTGACTGCTGGCTTGATTACCTGTCTTCAGGTAACACAGAAAAGGAGACGGGACTTCAGTATTCACTGTTATTAGCAAGCAGGCAACAATTAATTCATTAACATTTACTTCCAAAAGAGAGAGTGTAAAAGCAAGCTAAAAAAGAGAGAGAAAGGTAAAAGTGCACTTGGTTACCTGCCAAGAGTATTAACTTTAATTCTAACTTCCACTCCTTCTCATGGTATCTGTAATACCCCACAGAACCTGAAAACATGTCAGTGGTATCAATAAAATCGGTGCTGTTACATGAACATGATGGGGGCTTGGTTGCATTTTACTATAAGGCTTGCACACACTTAGTTTGGCCAACGAGGATGTCCTAGTCAAGGAAAAACACAGGCTGAAATCAAATGGGAATCCATCAAGATAGAACTCGGTACAAGTTAGAACCAGGCTCAAACGACTCAAGATTATACTCAGTTTGAGGTAGGGTAGGTATTAAACACAAATTTAACAGTTACTAAAGCATTCAAATACCCAACAAAGTTTGTTTTCTTTGCTCCTGCAGTTCAAGTATCTGGAGGTGTGGGAACAAAACGAAAAATGTCATTAAGCTCTTCTCAAGAAACACCACTCTAGAACACTTCGTGGGTTTCATGCCAGCACTGCTACACCAACGAGCTGTGCGAAATGTAAGGGCAAACAGCAACAACAATGAAAAACCAACAGAAAACCCACAAATAAATAACAAAAAAAAGCCCAAGGCCCCACAGATAAAAATCCAAAACCCAGCTGTTTTGGCCGTATCTGCTTGTCTTTATTAAGCAAGCTGCCAGTCACACTGCAAAATAAAACAGAAGTTTCATGCAACAATATTCTCCATCGTTCTTGGGAATTCAGGGTGCTTTGGGAAGAGGTAACACCTAGGTTTTCTCCACGTGAGAACAAGAAAAGTACATGGGAGTAAACGTTACGGGTCTCAAGATGCACAGCACAAGAAAATGGCAGCGGAGATCAATAAAATCCGTATTCCATGCTCCCGAGCTTCCCACAGAGACCACCCCGTCAGCTGGTCTGGGGTTCTGTGGGGGTCTGGGGTTTCTTTTTGTGTGTGTGTGTGTGTGTTTTCCTTGATCCTGTAATGCCCCTTTCACAGCACTGAACATTACTGGGAAATGGGCAAGAATGGACCTTTCTGGAGCAGGGAGCACACTGGTACTGGGGGTACAGAGCCACTCAGCACCAGCCCAGAGCTGAACTCCCTAGTGCAAGGACTTGGAGCAAAACATGCAGTTCCCTACAGGTGTCCACAGTTGGGTGGTCAAAAATACCAGATTGTTTTCTTCTCAGCAGATTTCAACGAATTCTGCAACATTTTACTCTTGTGTTAATGTGCAGCCAAAAATGTAGGCCCCAAAGTTTAATAACCTGCACTATTGACATTGTATCTACTTTCAGCTGAAAAAAACCCAAAACTTGAACAACTGCTCTAATAAATCTGTGTAAATACCTGCAATACTTTAACAATCCACCAAACAAAATCAACAGGACACTACTGAGTGGCACGTGTGGTTTATGTTCAGCACACAGGAGCGAACACACTCATTAAAGTCCAAATTTAAAGAAAGAAAAGCTTCCACCTGGGTGGCTGTGAGAACTCTCCTCCTCTTCAGGTCTCTGCTAGGAGTTAATTTCCAAGCTTGTCACTTTTCTCTCTAGCGTTCAGAACTATATAGAGCTTTTGAAATACACCGAGCATTCACAGATTCAAAGGAAATTGGCGCCATGAGAGCAAGTACTGAAACACCTGAACAATCATAATCAAGACAGAATCAGAGCCTTTAACAAGTTTATAAAGTTATCAGAAAAACTGACAGAAAGAACTGTAAATTTTTAAAACACGAAGAACGGTTACTGCAGGCGTTGCAATACTAACTCTAAAACGGCCACAGCCACTCAGTTCCTCTCTTAATAGCCTCTTTCCAAAATAATCCTAATCCAACCAGCCCATCCCTTCTATTCAGTCACATCTGCAGTCTCTGCCTTCTGCACACTTTAATCGAATGAAGAAGTAAGAATCCGATGGCATGTCTTTACTGCAAGTCTCTAACGTATATTAAAAATATTCGTGCCTATACTACGTTCATACCTCAATAAAGTGATTCACAAGTAACTGATTTTGGATCACTGAAAACTACAAGCATGCACCAGACCAGCAATGAGTGATCCCAGGGGCAGTGAATATTCAAGGGGGAGATCCAAAACACCTGAACCCGTCTCTGATCCACTTCATCAGCCTGCAGTTTTGGCACGAAGGTTGTAATGCTGGGACGTGAAGAAGGGAAGAAGGGATGTGCTCACACGTGATACCCTGCACCCACACAAATACCATCAGAACATTTATTAATAATCAAGATGCCCTCAGAATAGCTACTGCTTCCAGTATATACGTTACTAATTCACTTGAAGACGGTGTTTGCATCGTCTTCTGGTATGACAGTAAAAGCAGACACCACGCTAAGCATGAAAAGTAGAAATGTACTAGAACTGTAGTATGCCAGAACAGAGAGATTAACAGTAACTTCTCCTCACATCATTTTAAGAACTTCCTTATAATTTCCCAACACCTGAGAACTCTGTATGCACTCATCCCCACACACCGAGATTGTTTCCTATGTTCTCTCTCTAATGGCAAAATAATTCCCCAATTTTTCTTCAGTCTGCATCTTCCAGCCGTTAAATAAACCCAGGATTATTATTGTTCTAGTTAAGTAATATCACCTTGTGCCAAAAAAAGCGTCAAAAACCTAAACAAACCCTGCCCACTCTGCTGGCACTCACCAAGCCACCAACGTACCCGACGACTGCAGCACGGACCTGCCTGCACAAAGCATAAACCTCTGCATGTCCACCTCTGTCCCTCTGAGAGGTCACTGTGGAGATTCTATTTTATAAGAAGCTAACTTTCTAGTTTATATTCAAGGAAAGCTTGCAAATTTGAATTTGAGAGCCTGCTGGTCATCCTTGAGAAGTTCACTTGTAG